GGCAACTAAAATCTGATTCTATGAAAGCACAGAATACTTTTATTTCTTCTACAGCTTGATTATCAAACACATCAGTAATAAGAGAAATGAAAACAAAAAAAAAAAACAAACCTGTTTGCCAAATTAAATTTTGAACAGGATACTTCCTACTCAGTCAGAATTTTAAAGAAACTTTAATAAATGTCTAAAAACCAAAATACTAATATCCTAAAACTATGTGTATAATCGAAAATACCTGTCAGAAACTTACAACTCTTGGTACTTATTTGTACAGCTGTTAAAATCTGTGTCACACATACAACAAAAAGCAACATGCAACATTAAAAAGCATGTACAGAAAAATACTATGACCATTTCATCTTTAGGGTTTCTATTTTGCAGAGACATTTGAAAGCTTCCTTAACCATGATATAGAAACCACATGATGTTGGAGCTCAATGCAAATCTTCATGCAGCTACCTCATCAAATACATTTGGAGGTTATTCAGCACTTTATGCCAGTGAAATCTCAGAAGTGAGAGCTCTAAGGTAGGCAATCACTCTTAGTTCTTGCCATAGGAATAAAGATTTCAAACTGTGAGAAATCCACCAGCTATAGGAGCTCACATCTCATAATCCTATATTAGCAATGGATTTTGAAGCACTCCCTTGCTTGACTTTGAGTTTAGCTGCTAAATCACTCCGTGTGAGCACAAAAGGCTTTGGATGTGAAAAGGTTTGTTTCTCAATTTTTCTACACTGAAACGTACAGTAACTTCTGCACTTGGGTGAATTCAAAACATCAAAGCATTAATATTGTAGGAAATTAATTTTTTAACCTACTGGATGAAATAATGAAAATTTGCTAAACGGAACTTCAGACTCTGAGGACAGGCTCTGTAAGAAGACTTATTCATACTGACTTTTCATTAGTCAATTAATTTCCCTTGGTACGTGCTGACTAATGTGGGTTTTAGTCCTTACCAGTAATACCAGCTTTGAGTTCAAAATAAAGCATGGCTTTAACAAGTGCTATGCTTTCCCCATTGAATATAATCACTCAAGAAAAGATCTACTACAACTTATGTGATACAAAATCGGGAAGAACAGGAATAGAATTTAAAACATTATTTAGTGTTTTGAGGGAAAGATGTTCTTGGATTTACCAATGATTTCTAGCAATGAAAGAAAAAAATACAACAGGAAAATATTTTGAACTCTAATTTAAGACTTTTCCATCATAGACAAGTGACATTAAAGTCCTTTCATTCCCACAATTGCACAATAATTCTTTTTCTAAATTTAGGTATTTAAATGCACCAATTATCAAAACAAAGAAAAATAATTCTTACTTGCTTTTATAATATTCCTTAAACTTGGGAATTGTAACAACAAATGAAATGCCTCTTCAGTCTGCCCTCCTTGATCAATGCTAGATTTTAAAAATGGAAGTAATTTTCCCTTTTCAAATGTACCATATGATTTCTTAGGCACAATGCATTTTCAAGAAGCAGTAGGAAGACTTGAAAAATAACCTTCCATCAACTATTTTAATCACACTTGTAAGTAGCTCAATATTTATTACCTGACAGACAGTGTAAGATAAGAGGATGTTCAATCGGTAGAAAATATCAATCAAGTAAAACTTGTCATGCATCACCCGAATAAAATTCATAATTGGGTAAGTTTTTTGTGTCATTTTCTTGAAACCCTCTTCCAGCATAATGTGTTCCTATTTTTGTGGCTGAGAAGAGAGGATCTTCTTTTTTCTTCATGCACTGTTTGCCCTAGAAGTTTCATCAATAAAACCCCCAAAATCTGTGTGCTTTAGTGGACTACAATTTTTTCCAATTATTCTGGAAAAACCTTCACACACAAACAGACTTTTTTTGCAAACTTGTGTCTTTTACCAAAATATAGCCTTACAGAACACCATGAACTGTCCTCCCAGGCTGGATTCATGAGCATTATCTTTGGATAAATGCAATTCCAAGTTATTAAATCTAATACAATGGCTTGCTGGAATAATGGAAGAGCCACACTGGTGCATGTGTATAACAGAGGGAAAAACATCAAGAACAAAATAACTGTTTAATGCTCTGTAATCACTGAAGAGTCAAACCAGACATGAGAATGTAAGGGAAATGAACAAACAGTTACAGCATTGCTGTATTATGCAAAAAGGCAAAGTGGCTGTTTAGAAACAGATTAAGAAGGCAGCAAGAGAAAATACAAACCAGAATACAGAAAATATTAAATAGGGAGCATCATTTTAATGACTCGCCAGCCAAGAAAAAGGATAATACATGAAAGGTAAAGGCAAAATTAAACTTTCTGAAAGAGAAAGAAACCAGGTAAGAAAGAGAAGGAAACCAGGTTCGATTTGTGAACTCCCTGTCACAGTACAACACACAAAGTATTTGGCAAAACACACAAAAGAAAACAATTTCAAAAAATATACATACATACATATATATATATATATATGTGCATTATTCATATACTTCATATAAAAACCAGAATTTGTCTGGGTTGAAAAGACTGTCAAAAATCACTACCACCAATTGCTTTATTTCTTCTTCACTGGAGTAACTAGTACTGGAGACTGACAGAGACAAGGTAAGTTATGTCGCTACCAAATCTACTTTTTCATGACAAAGCAGGCAAAGACAAAACTATTTTTTTGTATCTGTAATCCAGACAAAACTTTGATTAAATGTGATTTTGAACTTACACGTCCTTCACAAAAATGACACATGAAGAATTTACTTGGAGGCCACCCAATTAATTTAGTTAGGGGCTGAACTACAACTTGGAAAGTAGAGGAACTATCAGAGTAGTACTAGAGTAGTTCAGGGAAAAAAAATGGGGAATTTACTACATCTTCAGGAAAACAGTGTGAATTCTCTAAGTGCTCAGTGCACTGACTTGAAGATTCAGCAGATAAAGCACGTGCTAGAACTGGCTGATCAAATTAAACAGATACACACTTGGAACAAAAAAAAAAATCCCCGTGTCTGACTCTGCTGGGAAGAAGGGATGCTTTCTTTACTTTTGGAGTGCAGCAGAGAGGAGAGGAGCTGTGCAGAGGGAAGGAGAGCAGCTGCTGTGATCATCAGGCAGCTCCGTCTGCGGCGTGCGGAGCGAGCACATGTTGGGCTGCGTGCTCATCCCGCCAGCATCCCCAATTAACAGTGCCAGGGAGGCTGCACACATGCTCCCAGGGGCTCCCTAACAGGCTGCTTGGAGAGGGAAGCAACTGCACAGCAGGGCTCTGGGAACTCACTAATGTGGGCTAGGAGGGACCCTCAGCAGCTTTGCTCCTCCTAATGACAGCTCTTTCCACAGCGCGGTGCTTAACGGGTGCACCAAGTTGAAAAAAAAAAATAAAATTAATGCCTTTGTTTGTTTAAGACAGCTAAGCAAAGATTCTGAATATTCTGTACATTTATTTTTTGTTGATTCAGAATTTTCTAGCACTTACTGTTAAAATGAAAAATTCAGTTATTTAAAAAGTGTGGTATAATTTCAGTCCTAACTCCCTGGAATTTATAATCACAAACCAATAATCAACTTCTCAAGTAAGTTTGAAACAAACTTCAGTTTCTGTCTTAGAGACACTTCTGTGCTTCTCTGAAATACAGATGTAATTTTTATTGATATGATATATAAAGAAGACAACAATAGAAAGGGTTGTATATCCCTATTATGGACACGCAATTCCAGTGTGTAAGAAGTAGGATCATAGTTTTATATTCATAAATTCTATTTCTTGCATTAAATTTAACTGTCTCTCCTTCTAAAGGGAGATTGACACTTCATATTTAAAAACAATAACTAAGGAGATGGAGGTATGTACTGCAAGAGAAACATTCATACACTTTGGATTACAATGATAAAACTAGAAAACTAACCTCCTTTATTTTCAAAGGATTAATTGCATTGGTATCTAAATAAATAACATTTGCAGGTATTCAAGGACTTTTAACAAAATGTAGTACCTGTGAGTCATGTACCTACTTAAGCCAGGATTTAATCTATTCATAAACTCACCTACTATGAAAATATTTTGCATAATATAGGGTTTTATCCAGTACTCTTTTACTATAATTAAAGCAAATATCTAAAATTATAGGCTCCCTATGCATTGTGAATAATAATATTTTTGCTTTTGTAAGCTACAGTATCACTCACAGAACAAAAGACTATCTACATTTTTCCTTTTGCTAAAAAAGTTTTTTTTCAGAAGATGCATTTAAGTCTCTGTATACTATCAGGAACAATGCTGTGAATTGCTTCTGATTTTGCAGTTGGGAAAATGGCTCATGCCATGCACTGGTTTGCTCCTAGTCCTAATATAAGAGGATATTAGAATTACAGAGCAAATCTGTACCTTTAAAAACAAGATCCGATATCACTACAATAAGCATTTTAGATAAAGACAGCAGACTGCAAAGCCTTGTATTGATACTCTAAAAGGCATTCTGAAAGCACTGGGAAAGTGCATAGAGATGTAAAAATAATTGAAAAAGAGACCATTATAGGCATTTGCATTCCCTACAATTTCTGAAATTTTGACAATTTTTATAAAAAGGAAAAAGACTCACATTTAGCATAACTGTTCATAAAATTCCTAATTGGCTAAGTTTTTGTGTCATTTTCTTGAGGCCCTCTTCCAGAACAATGTATTCCCATTTTTGTGGTTGAGAAAAAAGAATTTTATTTTTTTCTTCATGCACTGTTTACCCTAGAAGTTTCAGCAATAAAACCCCCCAAATCTATGTGCTTTCATAGACTACTAAATAATGTTCCTACAATTTTATACTTGGGTCTTTGTAGATTTTGCAGCATGACTCTCCCACAAAATCATAAAGCAGAAGATATAGTCATGTTTTAAGTTCACACTTTGAACAAAAATACTTTAAAAATGTCCAGAACTGCATTTGTTTTTTTACCACAAGCTTTAAACTTTTGCTAATTGTTGTGCCAGCTCTGCAATCCAAGAAAAGCAGCATTCCTACCTGGATGAGGTGTGCAGGCATGGTGATGATGCAGGCTGACAAGGATTTCCTGAGCAGGCCACGCAGAACATACAGGAATTTTGTCAGGCTGTGAGGATCTTCAGGAGTATCACTGCAACAAACATCATCTCCCCACAATACGGAACCCAGGCTCTGGATTCCTATCCTCAAAACATTCCTTTGTTTTTGCTGTTGGGGGGAAAAAAAGAAAAAGTTGTTACTTTTTAAATGTTAGGAGGAACGCAATTTCTAGAATGCATAACCATAATAATTATGTGTTTTCTGCAATCATAGTAATCTCTGTCCATCTCATAAAAAATGCAAATGGAATGGGATTTTTTTCACTGCTTAGATATCATGAATAAGCAAGTACAAATGTAATGGACACAGAGAAATACTGAGAACTATTATTTTGTATTTTTTTACCAGCTAAATATAAGTATATTCTGAAATAAAATCCAGTAACACCTTTTAGGTACTTTCCCTGCCCCGTGACTGTCTTAAAAAACATGTAGAAGAATATTTCTCCCAGTTCCAAGACAGTCTGCTGGAGTAATCAAACACATTTCACCTTTCCACTGTGTCACTTTCATAACCTGACTATTCCAATGTTTGCTTCAGTTCCACTTTTCCTGCTCTTTCTGAAAGAACAAGTCAGTGCCTCAGCTCACCAGCACAACACCAGCCTGTCACTGCCTTCCAAGTCTCCAAGTATCATTGATGTCCCTTTTCAACTCCTTCCCACCAAGGAAAGAAGTTGTAGCCACAGCTGGGGAAGCACAGAGTCTGATGGGAACATCAGCAGACTGTCCCTTAAGGACCACACCTTGACATGAGAGTTTCTGGTTTGCTTTAGAGGCAGTGGCCAAGGTAAAGCTCCTTCTCTGAAGGGACAGATGATGAAGTCAAAGTTGCAATTTGTTTATGCAAAGTAAAATGTTATCTCTCATGACAACAACTCCATTTCTGCTTGTTTGATGTGACCTTTTCTGGTGGTCTTTGGAAAGGATTTTAGATACCTTTTCTATCAATAGCCAAAAGAGAGACAATGAACTCCCTTGTTGAAAAGACTCTCTGCACAAGGTAATCAAAGAAACATTTCTAGTGTTCAGGGTTCATACTTGAAGACCAGCTTTCTTTAATTATACACACACACATATATACATATAAATACTAATTTTGATAAGTAAAAGCTTGCAGAAACTTTTCACAAGAGAAAAGTGTTTTGATAAACTGCAGTAATGCCTCAGGTTTAGCTTTTATATTTTCCCATTCTGTGCTGCTTTAGTGTGCACTTCTGAGCTTCCCATGAGGGGATGCTGAGCTCTCTGCATAGAGCAGGGACACAAAACAATTCCTGCTCCAGCTGGGCACCAAGGACAAATGATCCAAATCTCAGCCCAGGAGCACAAACACCGTGGGCTGCAGAGAGAAAAACAAGCAGGATGGGGCTGCCTGGGCTGGAGCTGGAATGGGACAATGAACTCCAAGGTGCCAATGGAGCAGAACTGATCCCAGGGAGAGCCCCCGGGAGCGCTCGTGCATTTTGGGACCATTTTGGGTCATTTGGGTGCAGCCCTGGCTGGGCTCTGGTGCTGCCCAAGGTGGATCCATGGAGGAGATCCTTTTAATCAATCCCTGCTTTATTCTTTACCTCTGTCCAGCCTCTGCTCTAGCTCAGCCTTCACAAGGCATCAGCAGATATTAATTTCCAACAGCTGGAATAAACAGCAACTATCAGGCACAAACCATAGTACAGCTGCCCTGGAAATCCAGAGGAAAAGTTCTGACAAGACAAGAGGCTGCTCTTCCCAAAGCATCCTTATCCACACTGGGGAGGCAGAGCCTGGGTGGTGAGACACAGTCAGCCCCTCATGGCTCTGCTTTTATCCACTTGTGTGCCTCACCCAGGGAGCTGATCTGCCAATTCACTTCCAGTCCCTGGGGAAGCAATCTGGGTTTCAACTCTGCTTCTTTAGTCTCAGGCTTTCAGGCTTTTAGGCTTTAGTTACGAAAAGATAACTTTTTGCACTGCTGCATGAAGATCAGGGCAACAGTATGGGATAACACAACTTCTGTATGGCATCCCCTCAGATCAGGTGTTCAGTTTTACAAAGAATTGCAAAAAGAGAATCTTTAGTCAAATATTCTTTAATTACTTCTGATCAGAGCAGATTCAGGCAATTCTTGATGTGCACTTAAGCAACAGGAAAAAAAAAACCCAGGCATTTAAGAAAACTGTTTTATCCAGATATCATGGATATTAAGCAGGCAGAGAAAGCATTACAGTATTTCAAAATTTCAACACAGGCATACATAAAACTTACAGAAACTTTTTAAATGAGAAAAATATTTTTCCTTATGAGGAACATCCATAAGAACAACACACAGAGGAAGAAACTGTTCTCTTAATGGACAGATGATGACAGATGCTTATTTCACAACATCAAATCATAAGAGTAGTAAAAGCTATTCAAACATCAGCTAACATCAGATGTATTTATTGGGTCAGTAATTGAACTTCCACCAGCATAATTTATTATATATAAATACATATAATAATAGATATATTTTATTTCTATTTAAGTTTATTCCAAAACTATATAGTGCAAGTCTAATATTCTCCCACAACCAGACTGCTGTAAAGAGTAGGATAACATTTTTTTTAAATGCACCACTAGATCTTCAGTATTTGCATTAGTCTGGAAGTTTGGATTTATTTTCTAATTTTTAAAATTTTTTTTCATGTAATTTTTGTAACAGTGTTTGATTTGGCAGCAAATTCTGATTATGAAGAACTCAGAAAACACAACTTGAAGCCAGCAAAAAAAAAAAAAATCCCGTCCACAATTATCCTGAAACCTCCAAAGTACACAAAATGAATGTTAAGGAAAGAGTCGCCTATTAAAGCTCTGATGTCAAATATGCAAACCCAAAAATACTCTGAAATAAAGAGGTACTATTCTATATAACTTAATACCATGATCAATTTATAAAGGATTCCCACTTAAAGATCAGCAGCAGAGCTTCTGGGAGGTTTTAGAAAGGCTGTAAACATGATGCTTGTATTTGTAGCTTCTAGGTAATTCAAACCCTGATTTTCCAAATATTAACTAATTATTAACTATTACCTAATGTTAACAAACTGCACTAGTGCTAGAGATGCTGGAGCATTTCATCAAAGGTCCACCAAACCTCTAATGGTGGTTTTCACTTATTTTCCCAATTGTGTCAAACCATCTCTTAGCTGGGGTGAGTTACATTCTGCTCAGCTTCCTTCAAATAAAGGAGTAAATCTAAGTATCATTGGCATACTGACGTGAAAGCAGCCAAAAATATCTCAAAATTTTACCAGTCAGGTGGAGGATTGTTTTGGGGTGGGGAGGAGGTGGGGGGGTACATGCACAAACTTCTCAGAAGCTTTTATGATTATATATGGCAATTACACACAGGTCCAGAACATACAGGCTGCTCCTTACAATCTTCACACCTGCCTACTTAAAAGGCACTTCTGGGGGCTCAGTAAATGAAATAACAGAGAATTGCTCAGAGATCTGGCAAACAAAAGATCCAAGGTGTGTTCTGGGCCACTGCTACATTCAAGTCTGGACACATTTTTAAGAAGTGTGTAGTATACAAGGCTTCTAAATGTACAAAATTTGAGTGTGCAAAGAAAGATGATGCAAGGGGTAAAGTGGAATACTGAAAGAAAGAAATAGAAACCACTCCAGGAAATCATATGCCTTACCTCCCTTGAAACAGAAAGAACTACATAGTGCTAATGGCTTTGTAGATCAATAAATTGGCCTGAAAACTAACTTTTAAAGCTTCACCTTTGAAACTTATATATATTATTGAGCAAACATACACTGTTAGATTCATCTCAGATAAAGATCTGGTTTTGTTTTACGTTTTGAAACTAACTGACAAAAAGCAGAGAAAATAATGATTAGTGGTGTTTATTTTTTGCCAGCAAAAAACCACCCAAGTGCTGGCTCTGAAAAGCTTTCATTTTTCTTTGCTCTACGTGCATGTATAAAGAAAAAGCAGCAATAAGAGGCTGATGTCTTGGGCAGGAGGCTGCTGGCTGGCTGGAGGCTGGCAGGGTGTTTGTGTCACCCAGGGCTCTGAGGCAGGAGGAGCATCCCCGCGCAGCACAGGGGGATGACACACATCCCTGTTGCCATGGCTACTGCGGGGAGAGGGGCCTGGCAGGGACCAATGGCCTTCTCCAGGCTGGCACTGCCACCGAGGGAAGGCAAAACCCTCCCAGACATCTCGGCTGAGCACAAGCACCGACATTTACACACGGGGGCTTGGCGCAGGTAACGTTCCTAAAGCACGCTGGCAGACAGGAAAACATCCTGTCCTGCATCGCCTCCCTGCAAAAATGATTCCTAAAATATTCTTGAGATATTGGACTTGGAGTAAATCATTTCAGGCTCTCCGGAGTCCATGGTAATTGACTTCTACTGCAGTAGCATTTCTATTGTACAGCAATAATTACCTTTCAATTGAGCATCAATATATACAATTTATTATATTATTACAATCAGCTCCAAAGGACTGCCACATTACTGAATATCACAGAATAGCTTACAGGGCACTGCTCTGATTAGAAAAGGTCTTTCAGCCTATGTTGCTGCATTTAAAGTGTTTTTGATTACCCACATTAAGTTCTATGAGGAGTACAGAAATTTTTGGAAAGCTAATAAGCTGTTTTGATTTGCAAATTGAAATACCAAATTGAAAAATATAAAATTATTACTTTACTTCTTTCAATGCTCACCACATAATTAATCAATTAAAGAATTCGCACCAGCTAAAACAACAAAAAAAACCCCTTGAAAGTTTAGGGGTAAATGTTTAACCTCAAGAACCTCTAACAGATTATGGTAAAGCAATAATTAGAAAAACAAATATTGTAGGTGAAAATGTTTTTTGCTTATTTACATTATATTTGGCCATCCATTTATTAGCTAATTTCACAGAAAATGCATTTTACTAATGCTGTCTTACATTTCTTTCTCTGCATATATCTGACAGATAAAAACTCAAAAAAAACCCTTTAAGACATGACCAACACAATTTTTTTTTCGCTTGTTTACTTCAGCAGTGCTTAGAAACTATTTGTTCCTTAATAACTTGTCCAAGACCTTGTGCAAGAAAAGCAGGAAGAGTTACAGGCTTAAAGAGGAGTGTGAGGATCTTCAGTACCTGGGGATCAGAGCCATCAAAGCCTTCCTGGGAAATGATCCTCTGAATGGACTGAAGCAGCCTTGCATAACCACTGTTCATATTCCTGTTGGTAAGCAGAAATATTTTAGTCACATGTTTTAATATTCTCCTGTATGTCTCTAACAGCTGTATAAAAAGTAAATATGAACAGATGCAGCTTTCAGTGCAAGTGTCACACAGAAAAGGTGTCAGAGAAGAAGAAAAACAAACCCAAACTCTTTGAATAAAGTTGACATTATAAGCAGTTGTGATTACTTCATATTAACTAGTTCAGTGCTCAGACATTTAGTGAAAGCTAAAATCTCTAGGGATTAAGATAACTTAATTATGTCAGGCTCACATCTAGAAGATTAATGATTTAAGGTATCAACTTAGAGTTGAAACCATTCCAGCCTGGTACTAATCTTCTGTAACTGATAGACATCTACCCAGTTGTTATTCCAAGTATACCTAATCAATGCCCTGATGAACAGAGCTGACTTTCTATGAAAATTTTCATACATTTCACAGCTTTATTTGCATGACAGCAAAATTGTGAGGTGGCATTTATTCTGTGTATTGTTTAGAAAATATAACACTCAGAAAACAAACAAAAGCAAACCAATGGCTAAAAATGGATTTAAGCAGACTTAACACAAAATGAAAGTTCAACAAATCATCTTGTCAGACTTAGAAGCTCTTTACTTCCAAAGAGCAAATCAGGTTCTCATTTTTAAAAGAGAAATTGTTTTCTTAAATCCCATGGACCACACTGGGTTGGATGTCTGGACCTGATGCAGGTTCCTCACTGCAGATTAAGCTCTTTATCTTTTCTGGCTTTGACATTTTCTTCCAGTCTAACTAACTACCATCAAAGGTTGAGGATTCAAACTCTTGCTGTACTTCTTGGGAAATATGACAGGTTATTTTGAAAGTTTTACCGCTAAAAATTTTGCCTTGTTTGCTCCATAATTTTGTGCCTGGTCTGGTAACAGCTCAGGTTGGAAGGCACTTGAGAGACCACCTGGCCCAAATATTAATGAAATATTATCGTTAATATTATTCCCATTACTTTACTAAGAGCCTAGACTGTTATCCAAATGCATTTTTACTGATGAAAAAAACCCAAATAAACTTGTTTTCATCTCTTGGCAGAGAAGAAAATTCAACTTTTCTGACAAGCATGTAAGAATTGCAATGATCTGTCTTCCGCTCCACTGCTTCATCGCAAAAATGCGTGTTTCCTTTAAGAAAACAGTATCCACACAACCCCAACCCTCAAATATACTTGAATTATAAATATCTACAATGAAAAAAGTCATGTGGTCCTAATAAATTTGAGTTTTGAAACAATCAATGGCAAAAAACATTAGGAGATTACCTTTCTTTGATATGAACACAAAGCAGAGTTTCCAAATTAAACCCTATTTTTGTTTCAGATTTAGTACCTTAGAAGCTACTGATTAAACTGATACACTTTAATCATTTAATATCCTTTATGAAAGTCAGAACTGAAAATTAACTGGCAGTATATGATCACAACCTGATATTTCATGCATAAAGTCTGCCTTGCTATATAAAAAAAGCAAGTTGAACTTCTGAAGTCCATTACTTTCCCTGTTCTACCTACAGACTGTGGCAGCTGTCAGTTTACAGGGTGAACTTTAGCCCCCCGCAGTAGCCAAAATTCTCTCTGTGACTTTGCATTATCACAACAGATAATATTTTATTTTGCCAGAGAATATATTGCAATCAAAATATTTGTTGATTTCTGATTCATTACTCACTTGTTTTTTAAAAGTTAGTGGATAAAAGAATAAAATAACCAAAGCACTAGCAGGATTAAGGGGTCCCAAAATTAAAACAAAGAAATAAAATAGAACTTCAATTAATCTACCAGAAAGAGATTTGCAGCAAATAAATAATTTTTAAAAACAAAGTAATATGTGTAGATTTTTTAAAATGTCAAAATAGGTGCTCTTCTACCTCTTTCTAAAATATTCATGGTTTCTTTGATTTTGACCCATCTTATGTAAATAAGAACATAAAGAATATTGTAGAAACACTGTTTATAAAAGCTAGTTGCATTACCCTTCTGGCCATATTTGTCACAATATTTAGGGAAGGAAATAAGATTTCTTATTTTCCAATTTCTAGTCTATTTTTGGTTTTGTTGCTAAACACAACTTGATGTTGATAAAGGGTATAAACAATTCCTTCTTTACTCTTTTTTTTTGTTTAGCACTTTAGTGATGGATAAAGCAAGAGCTGGCAAGAAGGTATCCTGGTTACAACAAAGGCTCTGACTTCTCTGCTGATAGTTTCCAAGCAGTTAACAAAGGTTGGGTTATCAAGGGTATGACAAATAGCCTTGTTATGGAAAAGGAGACTCCATTAGGCAAGACAGTCAAACCTGTCTTATCTAAGTTTATTGGTAAATCTAGTCTCTAGATAAATGTATTCCTTTTTCAAAAGCACATACTTTCCTAAGGTAAGATTCACAGGTATTACTGAAAAACTACAACCTATTTATTTTGTTTCTTTTGATTATCAAACCTCCTTGTTTGGTAATTGTCCTGAAGAAGAGGACTGAAAACAGAGATAGAAAATCAGTGTTGCCTGCAGTGCACAGAGCCACCAGAGAGGATATTCCTGCCTTCCTGCTGGGTGTCAGCTCCAGCAGTGCAGCCACCAGGACACCAGAATATCCTGGCAACAACCACTGCAGAACAGCTGCTGTCAGCCACACATCCCTGCAAGCCTGGGCCCAGCACTGGCACCAGGACACAACTGCCCTTCCCAACACAAAAGTGAGACAAGACAGAGAAGGTTTGTGCCTTCTTCTGCACCAAACACCCAGGCCTATTTGCTGCTGCCTTTAGGAGCACTGGCTTTGCAGCCTGTCTTCAATGAATTTTTATCATGGGGAAATGAATTTCCATCCACCTTGAGTGATTATCCCAAGGGAACCCTGGGGTCTAATTCAGCCATCAGGTCCCAGAGCTGCAGGAAGGAGAGCAAACATGGCTATAAAATGTTATACCTACACTGTCTGGCAGGTGCCAGTTTACAGGGTAATTGCCCCCCCCCTATCAAAAACCAGATACACACACACATGTGAAAACACAGGAAAGAAAAGGAACACTGATCCAAACTCTAAGTTGAACAAAGGATGTTGATAACCTCCAAAACTCATTTTTAATTGCAAAGAAAAGGTCAGTTTTTATCTAATCAGTCAAAAAAAAAAAAAATCACCTTTCTTTCCAAGTCCATAAAGAAACTAAGTGCTTGTGTGGATAGCTAGAGAGGGACATACATATAAATATACATCATGTCTCAAGAGGGCCAAGAGTTTCTGGCCTACATAAAGTCCCTATGTCTCTGATCCTGCAAGGGAAACTCTGAAATGATCTTAGAAAAGACATTAGCTACAATTACACAGACAGTTCACTCAGCGAGGAACAGGTGAAATAACATGGATTTAGTTTTTGGATTTAATTTAGACATCATGACTAATGTGAATTAAAGAATCACAAATACAGGGATGAAAAGGACCTCAATTAGTCTCACAGAGGTTTACTTAGCTTGTCCTTAGGAATTTTTAGTGATGGAGATTCTACAATACTCCTAACTCATGACTGCAAGGCAACTTCTTGTGCAAATCATTAGAAAAACATCTCCATGTTTCCTGACTGTATTTTTACCACTACAATTTACTGCAGCCCATGATTGCAGAAGACAGAGTTACACCCTCTGCATGTCTGCTTTTAACTCTGCTTCAATTTTCTAAGAACTTCCATTCTTCCTTTCAAGCTTTATATCAGGGACTGTAATATTTAAAAATTCTTCCTTCCCACCTTGTCTTAACACTGACCTAGTTCAAACTTTTTAAAAAAGGTAACCAAAACCAACTGTGTTTGTGGTCAGAAATGACAATAACCAAAGTTAGAAGACAAATGATCTACTGTAAAGAAAGACTTACACAACTCTGCATTTCCCACAGATTTCTAAGAGTTTGCTATTCCCAGTGTGGCCTTATGTGGCTTTATTCCTCCCTGTCATATATCATATAGTTTTTAGACTGCATGATAATGTTTGGGATGGTGGCTGGCTGTTACTTTGGTACCTGCCTTTACTCCAAACACCACAATTCCTTCATTTCCTTGGGAGAGGCCTCTCGAAGGAGATCCTTGTTGAGATGGCAGGGAGAGGAAAAGGAGATAAATATTCCAAAGCCCAGCTTTTTCTGATCATATTCCTTACCTCATCACTCTGTGCTCTACCAATTTGCCAAGAAAATTACATAAATCTTTCTGTTAAACTAAAAAAAAAAGTGGAACCCATATAGTAAGAATGATGCGCTTTTATCAGGCTAGCACACAAGGACAACATCAGCATTAAACAAGACTTATAAAATCAAATGCATAGAGTCCATTCCGTATGCTATGCTGATGAGTTAATTTGATTTTAATGTAAAATGAACTAATACTTGACAGCCATATAGTTAGTAGATGAGTCACAACATTCTTATTAGCTAGAGAAGAGAAAGTGAGTTAAATTGCTCAGTAACTGTAACAACACGTGCAACCTGTCAGATATTTTTGTGTCCATCCTCTATTGGTTTGCTACTAAAAATTAGAAATGATAGCATTAACATCTAAACAAAGTTGGTTCAAATATTTACTATAGAAAGAAGTTCTCTGCTTTGTCCTAAAATTGGGAGTTTTTTTATACTATCACGAGAATTTATTTCACAAAGCAGGGACATTTGATCATGTGACACAGAACAAATTAGAGAGAGACTTGGCTTTTCCTTTGCTACAGCTCTCAGACAGGTGGTTCATACTGCACTTTCATAAATCTGAGGTTTTATATGAGTGCATTGCAGTGGAAATCACTCCCAATGAATCCCACACTGCCCGCAGGAGCTGGCCCTATACACTGGGATCTATAAAGCCAGGTATTATATAAGTTACATAAATTATACTATTATATAAATTCAGTGACTAGGCTGGACAAAGAAATTGCTGGTCCCTCCTTGATGTTTGACTTGACTTGAAGTGTCTCCAAGGAAGATACAATGGATGTGTGACTACAGGCTAAGATGAGTCTTTGCTACTGTCACTCATTTTCTCTCAGTCTTCCTTAATTCACTACTGACAGACATAAACATAATAAGTTATTCATTCTCAGAAGAGTTTGAATAGGAAATGTTTTGTAAGACGTAATTAGTGATTGTAATTTTATTCACAGTATATTGCATTTTCCTTAGGTGAAGCTGTAGGACGTAAGAAGTAAAAGCACATCATCAACTAATCTGATCTAGCACTCTAAGCTATGTAGGTCAAGGATGGCCTGTCTCCTAAGCCCTGAAAACTGAAGGCATCCTTTTAAGGCTGATAGCCACCTGACAAGCCCATCTCCGAGCTGCTGGGGCACGGTGCTCAGGGAGGATTCTCAGCCAGACAGAAACAGCTCTGGCAGCAGGGCTGGGCTCAACATGCAGCTAGGCTGTCCTAGTAATGTCTGCCTTGATTGTCACTGCCATCCTGCTCCCCCCCCTGCTGGTTTTCAGTTACCTCCTTCCTCTGTTGAGTTCAGGATTGAAGGCACTCAAGAGGATAGTTCATGTTCAGACTCAGGTGTTTATTATTTCTTGTCCCATGTTACATCTCACAGCCGTGAGTTCTGGAGTTCTTCACTAACAAGGCACAAAATGGCTAACTATCTCTTGTTACAAGGTCTTTTAAGGCTAAACTATCCAATTAAGAAATGACACCTGTTACTTTTAACCCAATAACCAACTACCTGTGCCTGCAATGTGGACTTTTTTGTCTAATTGCACAAAACCACCCAAACCCATAGAGAAGGAGAAGGTGAAGAAGGACCAGCCACTGCCCTAAAACCTTCATCTTGCTTTATATCTATTACTATATTCCAAAACTCCACACTCTTAAGTTTCCCAACCTGTAATGTTATGCATCTCTATTCAAACTCCACACCCACAATCTCAGTTCTATCAATCAATTTTGGAAGCTTCTCCACGGCCTCAGGTCAATGCAGAGTTCTCCTGGGGCTCAGTGCCTGTCAGCACAGAAAGTCTGAAATTCTCAGCAGTCAAAACTCCAACACTCCCCCAGCTGGGAGCAGAGCTCTGAGCTGTCTCTGTGCCCCACCAGGCAGGTGGCACTGAGAGGCAGCCACGGCCAAACTGCTCCTGACCCTACTTTCATCACCACAGCAAGTGCAGACCCAAAAATATCCTTTCCTGCCAATATGCATTCAAAATCCAAACACAATAGGACCATGGTGTCAAAACTTACCATGTTTTCATTTTAGGCTCGAAAGGCAATTCTTCATGGAGGTAAAAACTGTGCAATTTTACAGACTGACACAGCTCTGGAGACATTTTCTTAGAAATATCATAATAATGGCCAAACTTTGTATGCGTTGTTGGGCTGACCTGTAGGAACAATACTGATTACAATCTTAAACTATTATCAGTCAAAAGAAAGTAATTAACTAGCAATGCACTTCCAACCTCTGTTTTTTTCCTCCATTCAGCCTAAATAAAAGCTTCAGGTAGAAAAACATGATAATATTTACTACTAAGCTTTCATTCCCTCATTGTCATACCTGAATGTGAATCTTACGCACAGAGTTCAACCTTTACTATTCCAAGCTGCAGGACCAAAGTGCAGTCAGATAATTAAAAGAATGTATTTTTGCACAAGTTCTAGAGAGATGATCACAAATATGCAAAGGCCAGATCTCTGAAATCAGCAGAATATCATGTGTTCCACCTCTGATTTTTCAGTCTCTGACAATTACATGGTTCTACAGAAATAATTTCAGCTGACTTGGAAAATGTTTCTTTTTATTTATGATCAGTGAAAAAAAACAAACCATGGCATCTTCAGAGAAGTGATTTTAATAGAAAAATAGGAAATAGTTTAAAATTATTTTTAATTCATTGAAAATTGAATAAATAGTAGGTTAAGCATTACACACCATAACTATGATTTGCTGTAATGAATATACCTTTTCATCAGAGCTTTATTTTGGTATATAAAACATCATAAACCAAATTTAACATATACCTGGGCAGGAATGATACATTTTGAACATGCTGTACTAATAAATAGAGGAAATAAATGCATATGTTTGTTCCACATTAATGGAATTCAGAACAGAACCTGCAACATTATTTGAAATATACATGTAAAGTTAACCACCCTGTCCTGGTTTAGCCCACCCCCTGAGACTGTTATACCATAAAATATTTAAGTAGATAGTATTTTACCAAAAATGTATTAAACTGTTAAGATTAATTAAAATGATTTTATTTAGGGCAGATATTTTGAAATTTTTTATTTGATTCATAGCTGTTAGGCAGGGTCAGTTACCAGAGAATATCAATAGTTAACAAGAAGGCAATATTTTCCTGGAATAACCAATGAAACCCAAACTTTTAGCTAAAAGAAGTAATTTGTTTTTAATTAAAAAAACTCATGGAATTTCTTATGAGTATCTAATCATTAGAGGCAAACTAATTTTATAAAAAGAAAAAATAGAAAAGCACATTCTCTAAATCTATGTACCAATTTCTTGGTATCTGATTTTTAAAGTAGGCAGTTCAGTAAAACATAACATTCTATCAAAATTTAAATGTTTTTTATTGCAAAATGTAACTTTATTCAAAACAAGGGTTCTGAAAGCAATTTAAACAGGGGCTGTTCTTTGGCCTATAATCTATTCTTTATCCGGATTACAGATCAGAATGTTTTTACTGCAATCTCTGCCAGAGCTCATCTTTTTATTGTGTACTTCCAAGCCCCCTTAATGTTTTAGAAAGGCCTTGACTAACTGAACTTTGATCTGATGTCTTCATTGAGAAAAGCTCCAGGTTGCCTATTTCAGATGCAAATCCTTCCTGAGGCCCAATAGAGTTTAGTAAAGACAGCAAAAAAGAAGAAACAAGAAGTTTCCAGGATCCTCTTTGAGAATCCTGAGGCACATTGGTGTCCTTAATCCACCCCGCTGCACGGATTAAGGTAGGTGATAACCTCTCTTGCTGCCAAAGAATGAGCACAGCGCCTACAAACTGGGTGGAGCCTGGGATTTGGCACTAATAAAACCCCATAAAAGCAATAAAAGCTGGGTCCATGGCAGAGGGCCCTGAATAGGGCTCAGTGTCCTGCATTCCCAGGCTTAGCAGGGAGCTCGTGGAAAGCCTACCTGACTCAAGGAAGCGTGAATAATGGAAAAGAGCAGAGCGGGCGCGCAGGGCGCCCAGCGCACACTCACTGTCCCTCTCTGATAATGATATCTTGGGTTGTAAGGGTTTCTGTTATGGTTTTTCTGATTATAGAAAGCTTTTAGCTTTATATAAAGTTATCGTTTAGTTTATATTAAGTTATTACTAGGATCTTTTCACAGGGTGATGGAGACAAGACAATTCTATTCCAGCTGGAGACTCAAGCACAGTCTCTTCAAACTTCAGGCCCAAAGCATAAACAAGGTGAGAAGAGGAGGGCAAGCAAGCAAGCAAGGAGCACGAAACTTCATCATTTGAAGCTATTCATTGGAAAGTTGGCTCCTGTGTGCAAATGGACTAAAACTTATAAAAATGTGAGATCTCCTGACCGAGCCCTCTTTTGCTTCCATCTTGGAGCACTCCAGGTACTGCCAGGGTGTGGCCTTGGAAGGCTCTTCAATAAATCTCCACTTTATTCCTCTTAACTCTGTCTAGCCTCTGTCCCAGATCCTTAAGGCACCAATCTGAGCAGGCTGGAGGCTCAGGCCAGCTCTTTCCTGGATTCCTGTTTTGCACAAGGAGAAATACACTAAGTTGTCAGCGAGCAGAGCGTGCTTTTACGTGACCGTCTGCTGTTAATGTTTCTAATTGCAATACTAATGTGCTAGAAATCTCAGATTTAGGATGAACCAAGGCAGAAAATTGATTTCATGCTGTGACAGTTTATATATTGCCCCAAGAACATAAGCAGTTCATTCAAAAAAAAAAAAAAAAAAAAAAAAAAAAAAAAAAAAAAAAAAAAAAAAAAAAATAAATAAAAAAAAAAAAAAAAAAAAAAGGAAAAACCACACTGTCTTGCATTGCAAAACAGGCTCTCCATATACTCAAAAGTTTAAATTAAATTCACCTCTGATACAGATGTAAGTAACAAACTGGCAAAGGCACAGCAAGCATAAAAAGGTCTTTAACTCTGAAAGATTTCTTATAAATTTTCTATTTTTTTTTTTTGCAAATTCTTTGCATTTTTTGGGGGGAACTTTTGGCGGTTTTGAGGGGCATTATTTTAAAACCCTTGTTTAGGACCAAACCGGGTTCCTTGGTTGTTTTACCCGGGTTCAATTAATTGCAAGGGGATTTTTTGACTTCCCATTCAAAATTTTTTCTTTCTTCGGAACCGTTAACCAATTCATTCTTCAAAAACCCCCGGGGCCTTTTTTCCTTCGGCTTTCCTTTTTTTTTTTTGGCCGGTTATTGGTTGGAGGGTTTTTTGTTTTCTTTTTTGCGTTTTTGGTTAAAGGAAAGTTTATTTTTTTTTTTTCGCGTTTGAACTTTTTTGCCGTTGTTTTTTGAAATTGTTTTTTGGCTTTTTACTTCATTCGTTTTGGAACCCTTGCCTTGGATTTTTCTTTGCCTTTGTTTTTTCCCGGTAAGGGACCTTTTAAGGGATTCCCATTCAAGTTGTTTCTTTAATTTTTTGACTTAATTGCTTTGTTTTGTTGGCAGGGCGTTTTCGGTTTTTTCCTCGATGGATATAATCACCAATGCAATTAACATAGAACAGAGCCAAAATTTTATGATAGCTGCAATACAAAATACAGAAAAGTATCAATTTAAAACCAATTTTTCACCAATTAAAATGTCCTGAGGAATTTTAAATGCAGATAGTTTTATTCAAAAATTAAAACACAGAAAATATAAATCTTAAACTAACATACACAAAAAATATTGTGCCTCAACTATTGAGAATGATCAAGGTCCAATTCAAAAAGCAACAATAACAAGGGAAACTCCCTCAAAAGGACCGACCAACTTATTCTACCTTACATAATAATTTTCAATAATCACGGGCACATACATATTTTCAAGAAATACTACATTAGGGGAAGAAATGTATACTGCTATGAAGTTAAAGAAGATGAATTTTCAAATAGTTTTTCTATTTTGTTAGAACATCAGAACTCAATTTGTTAACAACATACAATTGTTTTCATATCAATGTACGAGGAACTCTGCCAGATTTAAAACAGACCAATTATTTTGGGGACGGTTCAGAGTGGCCCAGCAAGCTCCACAATAAAAAAATTGATGAGATTATATGATTACCCTGGAGGCTGTTTGATTTGGCATGTCACCATATATAAGTCTTTTCTGACACAACTATATAGCCATGTCTGTACAATTTCACAGAAAACCAAACATGCCAAGCCTTGTAAGATCATTTTGTCACATTCCAATTATGTTTTTAAGAATACAACTGAACTTACTGGGCAGGTACAACTACATCTAACCACAGTTTATAAATGTAGACTAAAATGTATAGACAAAACCAGGATTTTGTTCTGGATAGACAGAAATGCTGTAATTTTGTTAAAGATTGATTGTGCCACTGGATTAAATAAGAAAGCCACCAGCCATGGGAGATTGATTATTCACAAAACACTAACTGTAAACTCTGAAAGACTCACCACTGAGCTTGTTCCTTACATTGTCCCTGCACAGTGATTAGCTCCCAGTGACAGTGAGGCTGACAGAATCTCAAGTGCTTGCTTTAGTTGTTATGCACATGGATAAGCAGGTCAACAGCTTCTTCCACACAGTACTTCCACTGCAGACATCCAGTAAGTCGTGCTGGTTAAACCTACTTAAGTAATTTGTGTGCAACTAAATTTGGGCCAAGTTTGGAAGCAAGTGCATGATCCAAATTTTCATAAAAAGCTGTCTCAATTTGATAATACTCATTGAAAAATCCCATGGGACTTAATTTTTTTTTTAATTTTAAAATTACTATGGTTTGTATTGAGTCTTAGAGTACTTGCAAACTCTCAAATTCCCTTTTTTTTTTTTTGCATCAATAATAATTGAAACATTCAGTGGTGTATGACAGTTTTCCCTGAAGAGGCAATCCTGCAACACTGCCCATTAGTAGTTCTGTTGTCTAGGTCCTACTGAAAAGCATTTGCTTTTCAAATTCATTTTGAGTGCAAGAGGAAAGAAGCTGAAAATACCCATTACCTCCATTTTTGGTAAATTTTGGTAGCGCCAGGCTATTTTCATAGAATCCTGAAAATCCTCAGACTTCACAGCTGCTGCTTCATCCCCCAGTTCCTTCCCATGGGAATCATTAAGCAAAGGGGCTGGAAGTTCCTACAGGTAGAGAGCAAAAGAATGTCAGCTACCTCCAGCAGAAATGGCAGTTCAGATTTTTATCCACACCCCCCTCCAACTTGATAACACAATTATCTGAGTAAAATGGGCAGCTGTAAAATCTGGAACAAAGCCTGATTAAAATAGCTCTTCTGAAGGACTGGCTCCTGCTAATACTGAACAGGAAAAAAACCCATGTAATTATTGTTGGAAAAATGAATTACAGAAGTAAAATAATGCAGAATGGAAATACAACATTTGATGTTCTACTTCATCTTGAGCAGGACCTATATTCATTTTTTTTGTAATCTTTCTTTAGAGACTGACTCCTAAACTACTCCATTTCTGAGAGTGGGCAAGTTCCCTGCATATTTCAGCTTATTTAAGCCTTTTCCCATAGCAAATGTAAGCCAATTTTAACATAAGAATTTTATCAGCTCCTGTAAATTTTCAGAAGTAACCAACAGACCACAACAGCCTAAAGACACCAGCTGAAAGTCACTGCAACAGGATGGTTTGAATTTTCTCTTCTGTTAGCCATCAGGCATGACATCTACTTATGATGGATATCTCATGGACAAAAACACAGGAAAGGGGGAAATGTTCAGTTCTGAATTTTTCAAAAGTTTCTAATGTACACTTTCTTTGCTACACTACTGAAAAAGCAAATGACACATGAATTCAGAATTCATGCAATGGGCTTCTACACCTACTGGCAAAATAAAGTGCAATGAAGTTTCCTGCCCCAACTTTATCACGCCCATCCCTGTAAGCTAGAGGGCAGAGAATCTCTGTGTGCTTAAAACAGAACAAGGCTTCAGCTGAAAACTGTGTTTTCCTTGAGCAAAGATTCTAGAGAAAGAACTGTGACATGCCTCAAGGGTTAAACCCACACTGAGCTAGCCAGTAGCTTGGTTACAATGCATTGGCTGTGGAGACATAAAAAGCAAATTAGAAACCTTTAGAAGAAGAATCTGGATTGAAGGGTGGGATAGAAACACTGCACACAGGGAGAGCTTATGGGGACCCTAAATATCCAGGTGACACTCATGGGTTTGCGTGGGTACACATGGCACAAACAGAAACATGCATAAAGGAGACAATGGAAGTTTAAACATGTCCATCTTTGGTTTGGTGTTACACTTATTTTATATTATTTATTTCATTTTCTTATCTTATATTATATTTGTTTTCTATTATATTCTATATTTTTTATCTATTATTTTCTCCTCTTGCATTGTTTTTTTATTTCATTCTTATCTTCCTCTTCACTTAACTGATAATTTATTTATTAATTTAGTTCTTACTTTGTTTTATTTGTTTGTTTCTGTATGTTTTTTTTATTTTTTTTTTATTTTTTTTATTTTTATTTCTTTCTTTATTATTCATATTTTAAACATTAACATACTAATCCTTTACTAATAATTAATATTAATAACTAGTAAGATTATAATTAATAACTATTAATGTGTATAGTTCCATACATAGCCTTACCAACAATATATGCTACTTTGTTTCTTGTGCATAAATTAACATAGCATCTAGAATTATTGAAAAAAAGAGATTTCAGACAGCTGCTTCTGTCTCTTTCTGGGGTTGGTCACTACACCGTCTGAGGTCCCAGGCAATGGAAGTTATGAAAATTTTATAAACTTTATGTCTTAATAAAATTGCAGAAATAGAACAACTGTATCTGTGTGTTTCAGCAGCTCAGTAAAAAACACATAGAAAGCCTATTTTATTTCTTCTTCTTTTACAAATGAACTGCAAAAACCTGGTAATGACTACTCATGAGAATGATGATGTGCAGAGTTATATTTTCAGATTTATCACAGCTTGCTTAAAAATTACCCTTGCGTACAACAAACTCATTACTATGTTAGTAAAAATTAGGCTTTCTGGGTAGGAAAGCTGCATAAAAATGAAAATTTTGATTTAGTGTTTACAGTTTTCATTAAGTTTACAGATTTATAATAGCCGTTTTAATTTAAAAAAATTACTTTAGTCAGAGTTCCATTACATCTACCCATCAAGAAAGTAGGCAAGCTTTCAAACCAAAGATTTTTGACAGGTAGGAGAAAATGGAAACAGAACACTGCACTGAAAGGTTCTGAGAAAGTCTAAGTACAAACTAGAGCTGACAAGTACCCCGATGCATTTCACATACATGCAGATACAAACCACTTGCATTTAATTCTAAGAGCGTTGAGGTACTACTTCATACTACAGATGAAGTACTTTTCTAAACAAAAAAAAGAGGTTACTTTGAATTGTTAATTTTATAACACAGCTATCCTCTGAGTTAATCAATCAATCTTGTTTTCCAATTGAAATGTTACCTTGAAAACACATACTGAACAGTTAAACTATTGTGCAGATTTAATTTCCTCATACAGGAAATAGTCATAGATTTAAACATATTTAATATTATTATTCATAGATTTAAATTTCCTATCATTAAAAGATCTTTCTTTTTCAGTGAAGAGCTTCTGATTCTTGATCATCTCAAAATATTCCTTATTTAACAGTAATTTTTAAAACGCCAAACGAAGATTCATTTAGAAAACTGAGTTCTGCAAAGAAGTAATTTGGAGGCCTAAACATTTTCAGATCAACTTGCTCCCAGGTAATTTTTTTGTAGTGGTGGGTAATCTCTGTTTTTTTTTCTGACAAGGCCTGCAGAAATCATGAAATCTTGCTTAAACATTTCATCCAACTCCTTGAGCTTGCCCCTGCTTCAGACACCACCACAGAGAAGAATTTGCTCCCTCACCCTGCTGTAACATCATGGGGCAGCTTTCACACCACCTGCAAAGCCAAAAGCCAGGAAATGGCATGTTGTACCATTCTCCTTCCTGCAGGTAAAGAGGAAAACAACAGCAACATTTCTTAAAGCTATTTAATATTTTTCTCCCCTAGAAAAATCATTTGTGCCGCTGGTTCATTGTTGTTATATAGTAACTGGGAAAGTTAAATGTGAGACAAGGACTTAACTACATAAATTTGTGTATTTTACTCATAAAATGTATTTTATGCTGAAAAAAGAACAGAGGTCAAGACAATAAGGGTGAGAGGCTCTCCAAGCTGCTTAAATAACCTCATGTAACAGTGAGAATAAGTTCCTGACTTCCAGTCAGAGAACAAAACCTCCTTACATGGCCCTGTGTGGCAGGGAGACACCACAAACCCCAGCTGCTGACACCCAAAAAACTCAGCCCAAAACAATCAGAGGCACACACACCATCAGTGCAACACAATTAGGCACTGTGGTGTGTCCTAACTGCTCCTAAGAAAGAAGATTAAGAGATCAAGGAAAAAAATGGTTTCACCTGAAGCTGATAAAAGATTTTGGCTGCCAGAGATGAAAATCCATCTAAGGATCATCTGAAACAGGCTTTATTTTTTTTGTCAATATAGCTTGCTTTTAATTTCTAACACAAGAAAGTGTTTTTATTTTGACATAATAAAAAACTAGAATAATAAACTAGACATAATAAAAAAAATAGAAGAGCACGTGCATCAGCTTAGGTCTGGTTTATTCTGTCTTGCCCCTTGCAAGGAAAAGGAGAAAAGACCAGGAGCACTCCAGGAACTCTCTCAGACCAAAAATCAACTCCAAGCTACTTTTTAAACGCCTAATAACTCCCATGCTTAGCTAATGAATGTTCCTTAGATGTACCATGTTCTTGTCCCTGTGCAAGGGACACTGAGCTTAAAGACATTTCTGGGGCTACCACATCTCACAGCCATGCAATTTTCTCTGCCAACACTGTTCTAAAGCAAAGATATCCTGAATGACACTCCTGGATGTGGGGGCTGTGACCTACATGGCCTCTGAGAAGGCTCTGTACATAATAAGCTGCAGCCTGGAGAAGGAGCTCTGCCTTTGGATATTTTGAAGACAAACTGCCTGAGCTCAACCTGTTTTATCAACTTGGTTAAACACATTCCAAGATGTACTTGAGCACAAAGGGGTGGTGGGGAGGAAATTCCAATCCTATTCAAGATATATCTGTAATTTGATCATATTCTATATAAAGAACAATAAACAGAGCTAATAAAGATTGGTTACCTCTAGATTTGCATCCCAACTTTACCATGTTATCCCAGCTTCAGATACTCTCAATTCCATTTACACCAAGCAGTCAGAGGAAAAAGAGGCAGAACATGCAGGGGCTGTTTGAAGGTATGTCTGTGTTCCTCAGAAGCCAACATGCCTTCATCAGCCTCCTAAAGACTCAAAAAAATACCTAGTCACTGGTTTTCCTCAGGATGTACTGATTCATGTATCTCAGTCCTTAACTTGAAAAAAAAAAACCTTTTAACTTTGTAAACTTTATGGGTTCTCTCCCTAAGTAAACTAAAGAAAGACTATAATAAAACTTGTAAACTAAAATTAAACTAAAAATTATAAATTTTATTTCTTTACATTTTTAATAAAAAGAAAAAAGTTATTAAAACAATATTCTAAGTTTTATTCTAATTCTTAATACTCTCTTTAATTACTATTAATAATTTTTTTCTTTATACCCTTTTAAAATTTTAAACCTACGTTACCCTTCTCCTAATCCTACCTCACAACAAAAAGAACACTAATAATTAACCAACACTAAACCCACCACAGTCCTTCATAAATGAGCCAAAAAAATCTCAAAATTAACAAAACCTCAAATTAATAAACCAAAACCACTACAGTAGGCAATATTGAAAACACTGAATGATCCACACATTTCTTTTCTTCGTATCTGCTTTTATTCTTCACAATAACTGGAAGTGGAATGAAAGGCTTTCCCCTCTTCTGACTCTGGAAATGAAATGCAATTCTTTCTTTCAAGAAAGGAACTGTTTCCAAAGCTGACCATGCCTGAGTGACACAGAGCACCTCAGTGTGAGTGTTGGCAACCCAGCTGCCATTGCACAGGTCTATCCTCAAAAATATTTCTGTCATTACACAGATAAATCCTCAAAAATAAAGGCTGGATGCTTGGATCTATACTTTG